TGCGTGTGATGTAGCAACATGACTACATGCCAAGCTCATGATGCGCTCGCGGGCGTTTCACTAGCGTCACATATATATCAAATTTGGTATTACGGTACGCAAATGGGGGACGAAAGTATGTGACTGGTGCAAACATGTTAATCATGAGATGCGTGTCATGTAACAACATGAATACATGCCACGCTCATGATGCGCTCACGGCCGTTTCGCTAGCTTTACATAGGCCAAATTTTTTATTACGTGAAGTCTATGGATGACGAAGGTATGTGACTGGTGAAAATGTGATAATCATGAGATGCGCGTCATGTGAGAACATGACTATATGCCACAGTCAAGGCGCCAATACATTTCGACGTGACGCGGTGCGCGTGCTCACCTGCGTTCATTTAGTTGGGTCACGCCGGCGTTGCCACGCCATGCACCAGTCCTGCCATATACTCGCAGGCGCCCACCGCAATGCGTTGCTTTTAAGTGTGAATACACTTTATAAGCGACCCCAAACCATCCACCGCCGTCGGCGGCGTCCGCAGTCTTCTCTCTATGTTTAAAAGAAAGAGGACTTGGCGGGCCGCAGCGCGACGCTTTACCGAATAAGCCACGGACGCGACGCTGATATCGGTGTCAGTAACGCACCTTATACCCCCTCCCCCTTCGCTCGCTCCTCCACTCTCCTCGCTCGCTGCAGCTGCGCGCGCACCCCTCTCTCTCGCGCTCCCACCTTCTCTCTCAGTCTCCCGTCGAGAGCAGGTCGTGAGGGGGAGTAAAGTTAAAATCCGTTGGCATTCGCCAGTGAGTTAACGTAAACTCCCCCGTGTGATCAAAATGCGATTCCCAGGAACCATTACACCATAAAGGCACCATAGTGTGAATAATAAATATAATAGTGCGAATTAATAAATACCCCTCATAGCATCACCCCGTGTATTCGCACTTAACCATGTTCACCCTCGGGGAAATGCTTGGGAGTTTTTTTGACGCATGCGTGTTTCAGAGCGTCCGGCATCCCTCCGTCACAAAAAGAGGGAGACGCAGTGTTGTCTGGGTAACGCATCGGCACGAATTGCAGCATGTCGCATTTTTCGCGTCGGTTGCCGTCGGGCCGCACCGACGGACGCTGGTCGCGCCGGTCGCACCGGTCGCACCTGGCGTCAGAATATATAGAGTGCTCGCGTTTTGCTGGCGTAGAGTTACTGTGCCCAGCGTTGGCGCACGTGAATGCTACATTGGAGTGTATTCGGCCGTTCATGATGCACTCGCGGCCGTTTTGCTAGCTTCATATAAACCGAATTTGGTGTTACGTGACGTCAATGGATGACGAAGTATTTGACCGGTGCGAACATGAGAATCCTGACAAGCGTGTCATGTAGGAACGTGACAACATACCACGCTCATAGCGTGCTCCCGGCCATTCGGCTAGCTCCACATATACTAATTTTGGTATAACGTGACGTGAATAGATGACGAAGGTAAACGACACATCCAAACATGATAATCATGACACGGAAGCCATATACGCCATCATTTACCTCCACCTCGTAACGTTGTGCTGATTTTAAAGTAACGTATCAACATTTCTCATTCGTGCTTCGCATATCATCGATTCCCTCTGTACAAGGGATCTGCCAATTTTCTTCTTCATCTTCCTAGCTCACGCTACACCTAAGTGTTTCAAAATCCACATCGCCATTTTTAAACAGGCGCAATCTTTTGTTGCCCAGTTTTTAGTGATGACTCGTTTGCTACAAACCTAAAGAAAAGAACATATTTAGAGACATCTGCTAAATGAAACATTGAAGACGTCTGCTTACGAGAATAGAATGACTATACGGTTTCATATGACACCCCCCCCCTCCCTTCTTTTGTTTTCTTGTGTAAAACGTGAATAAATCATTGAACGTTCGCTGTTGGGTTGCTATGAGGAAATATGCTTTAAGAGTAATGGCTTCATTTTATGGCAATCTCACTGCATTTGACGGTTGCTACACGTCGTCTACGACTGGAGCATTTCGCTACGGCGTCTCTCATAATAATATGGTAGTTTTGAGACGTAAACCCCACATATCAATCAACGTCGTCTACGACTAACACGAGGGCAGGCATGTCAAATCAGTCTTAATTATATCGTGGGAACGTAAAGGTAATAAAACCACTTTATTCCACTTTCTCATTGATCTGACGTCATATGAATGAGAGTTTACGCTAGCTATGCCCACCACTTTGGTAATCTTGAGGAGTTACCACTGTACAACTTACAGCCAAGAAGGCAGTGGGAGGGTGTCAGTCGGCGCACTCCATCTTCCTTGCACCATCAATTTATGCAATCCTTACTGAAGGATGACGATGTAGTCACATTTCAGCAGCGGCCGTAGGCAAGTAAGCCACCTCATCACGTGCATCATTACACTGCATTCTCGGTGCTCATCACCCTCTCTTTTCCTCCTCACCCAGTCATCCCTCGCATTATACCAACGCCGACTAAATTTCAAGGCCGAAATGCTGCCGCAGTGACGTCAGAGGGTGGGGGCCCAATTACGCCGCGAACGCGGCGCAAAGCCTGCGTTTCGTTCACGTTTTAGGAGAACCAACGCTCCCGCTCTCGCAGCTGCTGCGGCTTGATTGGGCCGAACAAAAGATGTTGAAAAAAAAGTCTTACTGAGCATGCTCAGTTGGGCAACTGGGCCCCCAACCTCTGACGTCACTGCGGCAGCCTTTCAGCCTTGAAATTTAGTCGGCGTAGATTATACAAGCGCACAGTCACACACCTCATGTGTCCTTTTTCTCTAACATTTACAACGTCACTCGCGGTTAACACTTTTTAGACCTCGTGTTTTCTCTCTGTTGTAAATGCAGAGTCCTCATAGCATTCCCACGAAATACCTATGCTCTTCAGTACAAGGTAGCGAACCGGAGTCTTCATTTCGTTAACCTCCCTGTCTTTCCTTCATCCTTTTATCTCACTCTCTTCTTGTGCATAGTCGATGTGTCATGGTGTCCCCGCCCCCATGTAAGTGATACATCTGTCAAAGTTCGGAGGTTTTGGGAAATTCCGGCATTGATGTTCGTGTTATCTTTAAAACGTTATGCCACATTTACGAAGCTTGCGCGAAGCAAGCTTGCGCGAAGCACACTGTATTTATCTCGTCTGGTGAGTGTAATTATGCAGATCATCCTGAAGAACTGTTGAACACGCAACCGAACAGAGTGCCGGTGTCTGGCGACCATCAAAGGCTTCGTTGACAATGATTGAACCTATGCGATCACTAAACGTTTCAGCGAAGGAGCCCTCGAAGTAGCAGGTCGCTTTGCAGGTATGATTCAGCCAGTGCCCCCTCGGCTAGCTCGCTATGATCAAGGTCGCTGCGAGTCCCGCCATGGCAACACAAGGACCGCAGCCCATGCACTCCGACTGGATTATCGCGACAGTGCCACCCTGCGGCGTTACGTCACCTTGGATTGCACACATGCAGCCGTTCGATCATTCGCTGCGCGTCGAAATACCACACATCGACGGTAGCGACCAACGCCCACTAATTATGTCTTTACTACGAAACGGCCTGGTTACGTAAAACGAAATCACCGCGCCGTGTAAGAGGAGCCTGAAGCCAAGCCACTGCCACGTGGTGTACATTCAACGGCTTCGAAACATCTAACGGCATCGTGCTGCTGGTAAATGTTTCGAAGCGCGATCTGCAGCTTCCGCTTCCGCGCATGTTAGGTGTAACGCCGATCGATACGGGACAATTCACGGGACCTCGGTGATGTTTGGGAAGTTCGTGCGGCATAATCGACATGACGATTTTGCCGATCTGACAAGGAGAAGCCAGCGTACGAGTCTCAGTATATTCCCCTTCGAACAGTGGCACGTGAACGAAACATACTTGTACAAGTGCATTTGTGTTTGAAGTTCTAAGCTATGGGGGTATAACAATTTAGTGTTTTTTTTTTCATTTAGCCACTTTTTATAATAAAAACAGCGATTTAATCTCGATGTACACAGTAAAGAGGTAGGCGATGGCCTTCTAATTACTTCGACCACATAAGTTTCTGAAATGTATACTATTGCAGCCAACCCGAAGTGCTGTTAGTAGAACAGCTAGGGTTGTCAACGTGAACGAGTGAAAAAACTAAGATAAGTGTACTACTAACGCGTGCACGTGAAAGGGGACAATGCTAACAAAACAACTCCTCAGAAAATAACGGTAACGAATACTAATGTGGGCGTGAAGGAAGTAACGCGGACTGTAAGCACTCTCGTTCTTTCACTTACTTTTACGTACAGCGACCTTCGAGAAACGATCTTGTACATTCTTTTTACCATTCCAGCAGCTGTCAAAGAAAATACGTTTCCCACGAATTTGCACGCCGTTACGGAGAGACCCATACATCAAGGTAGAAATAGCACTCTGACATAGTATAACCGCGCTATAGGTCGAAAATGAACAGATGTAAGACACAAGTGCTCGAAGTGCAATTAGAAAGGCATTCTAACGAGTTTGGTCCCTATTTTTCGATAACAATACCCCACTCAATGTTTACGCGTTAGGGTTCATATTACTTCCGGTGTTTTCTTTCTAAATCGTGTAATGATTTGGTTTAGAAAAGTAGCTTTCAAAACTTGACTTCCCATATAGCGGCACGCTTTTTTTTCTTTATTTATCTGTTTCATCGTTTTCCTGTGGCCCTGACAACGTGCATTCGAAACGGCTGAACAAACACCTTAGATATCAAGTATCAGCCGCTGTATACTTTTTTTCTTTCTTAAGTGTCACCTTGAAACGGGGTATAGACCCTCGAGGCATCGTTTTGCGCAGAAGCCCAGACATTTGGAGCGGGACGCCCACACAAACATCTTACGTCGTAAATGTCAGCCAATGGCGTACCTCTTTACGCACAGCATTTTACTTTAATGTCAAGATAAACTATGAACGCCCCCTCTACGTTTCGTTTTGCGCAAGACCGCGCATACGTGCAGCAGGAAGTAGACACGTGAAGGCACTGACCTCCGCGCAGGGGCACCAGCTGCGAGAGGACAGCGATGGGCAGCATGGTGACCATGGAACAGAGCCAGACGAGCAGAATGACCTTGTAGGCATGTGACCGGGTCTGCCACCGTCGAGACTCCAGGGGCCGAACGATGGCGAAGAACCTCTCGAGCGAGATGGACACTAACGTCCAAGCGGACACAGACACTGACACGGCTGCGAGAGAGAGAGAGAGACAGAATGAGACATGTAACAACACCTAATAAATATAAAATACGGTCTTTTTAGTAAAACATAAAAGAAAGACAAAAACAAGAAACAATACAACGTACTGTAATGCCACGTGGCGCTGTGGGTATAAATAAATAAATAAATAAATAAATAAATAAATAAATAAATAAATAAATAAATAAATAAATACATGCTTGACGCAGACGAAAGCAAAAGTACGAAACCACAGCGCTGCACCTCCAACCTCCATTGGAAAGCGATGAGATATACTTATATGGTGACAACCGGAATTTGCGCATATTCCTGCCAAGGCACTCATTGTTAGCTTTTTAAAACTTCATTTCTTTATCGTTGTGTTTTTGCGTCCGAAAACCACAATATGACTGTGAGGGACGCTGTATTGGAGTGCTGTGGAAGTTTCCAACACCTGAACTTCGTGCACCCAAATCTAGTTTCACGGGCCACAAACGTGCTCGTCTCCATCAAAATGCGGCTGACGTGGCCTGGATTAGATGCCATGGCCTTTGTGTTATCAATCTAGCAACATAACCACTTCAATGCCACGGATGGTTAGTAATGCTACAGGGCGGTATCTTTCACAGTGGCTATACATGTAATTCGTCTCGCTGAATGCATGTCCCATGTAGCGACAAACCTTCGCCACCACAGGGCTTCTTTTCTTGTTTTATTGAAGCGTAAGAAAACATTGGGTTAGTGAATCCCAACTAGGGTGGGCTGTGCCAAAAGCTACACAGAGGAGCAGTCTACAATACAATAACAACATACTTCAATAGGAGGGTTACTAATGTCCGCTTAGAGTATGCGGAACGCGTCGGTCAAATGTCACCGCACACGGCGCGATGGATGGTCGGTCGCCTGTCGCGTTGTAGTGCTTACTCATCGGCTTTCTCTGCTACATTGTGCGGATATATGAGACGCTTCTTCCATTACAAATTATGTTCATCTCATATGATGCAAATATTTGGCACAACCTTATCTTTACAACCCTCGGTGGTTTTTCCCGTCAGAAAGAATATGATAGGTATGCGGTCGAAGCATGGGAATTAATGCTGCGTGACTGCCCCAACGCTATGTCACGTCAAGGACAAACGTAATTGTACCACGCCACTCCCTTTCGCTGCGACCATGGTGATTCGCAGTACGCCTCTCTCAGTGCAATACAAGCTCACCGTATCTCTCGTGGCCGGGGTTCGCTACCTTTAATGCAAGCAGTTGTCCGTGCAACTTTTGTCGTAACTATGTAATAACGTGTAGAACACACGCTCTCCGAGTATCCTCATCTAAAGTGATGAAACGCATGCTTTGCGGGCTTATATGTGTCGGCTTGACGAGCGAGCGTTCACAGAGCAAAAACGCAGCTTTCGATCGTTCACACCAAGCCCTGTCTAAAATTTTAATTATACGCACGGCCACCTTTGAAAAGTGAAATCTGTTGCGTGTCCATGCGCATAGCCTCTTTTTTTTTTTACGCCTGTAGTTGAAGGCGAGGCTTAGCCCAGGTAACTCTTCTGCCTTTCTTTCAACATGTTGAAATATTTTCCTTCGCAATGCCACCACTAATGCGAAGTGAGACTGATGAGTGTAGTGGTATACATGCCTTTCTATGTTTATGAAGCAGAAACTTTGCGAGGAGATGAATGACGAGCCTCGGCATGCATTTAGCGGCACAAAAAAAAAAATTGCTTGACAGCGCACACTTAAGCCACCGTCTTCGGGTGTTGGGCACGTTCTCCCTAAATCGCACGTCCTGCATGCATGCACGAATTTCAGCAGCCATACTGGGCCTACTAAACACTTATTAGCCGCATATGATAAATGACGTAGGCGGATCTACTATTATTTATACTGATAACTGCACGCTTCTGTTGAGTTCAATATTTTTTCTGGATATTTTTGCGGGGGTGGTGCGTAACTTGTAGGAACATAATCAGCAGGCAGCAGTGTCGCGACGTACGCTGGCACCATTAATTCGATCGACAAGAAAACACTGAGCTTTTTTTTATGCTTTTCGTATCCGTATATGAAGTAACTTAGTGGCGTGTCCCTACAAGTTACCTTGCACAACCGTCAGGCTCAAAAAAGAAAAAAAAAACGGAAGAGGCTTTCGTTTTAATCACTGATACAATCCTCCATTGCTTTTTTTTTTTCCCCGATCTTTCTTCCTCCTTATTTGTTCGAACGTGACAGAGGTGCAATTCTATAGAGACCACATACGGTGGCGCCTCCGTGCGCTGCTACCGCTCTTTTCACATTCTAGCGATAGCGACACGTCAACCAACGGTGTTGCGTGAAACCGCAGACGACAAATCCCTTGGGGTGCGCCGGTGTTTTTATGCACCGTCACCACCAAGTTACTGTTTTCTGCGTAACTACCCGACAAGGTTGAGCTCGCAAAGAGTGCGCACAAAAGCCACAGGAGGCTTCGCGGTCACCACTGACAGCACTGGAAGTTGCCGCGTGCTCGCTAATCTATAGTATGCCCAGAAAAGGTGCGAAGTTTAATCGCGCCAAACTTGATCAAGCCCATCCGTTGTCATTTGCAACGTGACTGGTGTGCAGTAGCGTGTCACAATGCGTAGCGCGAGCGTTACTATGACTTTATGCGTGGTTTTCTTTGGTAATCAGGTTGCCGAAACGCGGCTTATGAAAATGAATTACAATAAACGCCCACCAGCAATGCAGCCGCCGACACTTTCGCAAAAAAAAAATCATATGATGCTATACGTTGAGCCTATAACAAGTGATGAGCAGAATTTCATGAAATATATTGATTGATCGATATGTGGGTTTTAACGGCCCAAAACCACCATATGATTAAGAGAGACGCCGTAGTGGCAGGCTTCAGAAATTTCGACAACTTGAGTTTTCCAACGCGTACCCAAATCTGTCCACAGGGGCTTACAGCATTTTCGCCTCCATCGAAAATTCATGAAATATATATCTAACGTACTTGCACAGCTTTCATTTTTCTCAGTCAGGAACAAGGCAAAGAAGTGGAAAAGGAGGAAGTCACCTCTTCCTTGTGTTACGCTGTGCACTAGAGGCTGAGATGGAAAACCAACATGCCCAAACCTGAGAGATAGACAGACGGGTGGTGAACTTTAATAGTGGCTGAGGACTACTGACAGGACCCCCTAACGGGAGCTATCGTAACCACTGGCCGCGCCCATGCCCAACCTTGAGTTATTTGGTTTACGACATATCAATTTGTGTTTTCTTATCAAAGCAAACTGAACACTCGTTTCATTCACAACTGTACTGAATATGAACGTATAGGGTTAATACTTCACAGGCCGGACTCGATAGCTTTTATTAATGCAAAAGCCCTATATGCTTTCGCAAACACAAGAATTGAACATCGGCATTAGCCGCTTCGGCGTCAGCGCGAGTGATTAAAAAAAAAAAGAATCACGTGATAACGTCAAAATATTGCGTCGATCGCCAAACTTGGTGACATCATAATGCCACTATGACGTCCTCGTTACGTCACATATCATGACGTCGTATGATGTCTTCCCACGACATGGTCGCTTTGTCAAGCGTGGACCAATCATGGAGAAAGAAAGAAAGCATGGTGAGGTGAGGAAACCTTACAAAGCTTGCGACCTTGGAGGCAGTGCCATACCACGTTAAGTGCACAACACGTTCGCAAGAGGGCCGTGGGAGTCAAGTCCAGTACATCGAGTGGGAACCAAACAGAAGATGGACTTAGCCATCGAGTCGTCTGAGGCGATTGCATGAGGGACGCAGTGAGTCTTCGGCTGATTCATTAACTTACCTTTAGTTATGTAATAAACACTTGCGACTACCTAATCATAGGTGAACACGTACGCACCCTAATATATTGTTCTTCTGACAAAATAGAAAAGTATATTCGTACATTGCACTTTCGAATAACTCACCCGCTGCCGACGTGATCGACAAGTGGAAACGTGGATGAAACGACGGAGAAATGCATTTTGACTAGAAGCCTACAGGGCAAAACGACGAGAAACGAGAACGACACTGCGCTTTAGAAAAAAAAAAAAACGAAGAAAAGGGAGCACGCGCTGGTGCTATTCGGCTTGAAATTCGCTTCGCGGTGTAAACGTCCCTAAATGCATTAAGGCGTAAGGTAGTACCATAGAGCCGGTTGCTTCCTTCTTATTTTCTTTCTGCCACTTATTTCCTTTTTTTTCTCGTTTTTTCGTGTGTACTTTTTTTCTTGCTCCCTCGGCAGCGCAATTTACTTCTTCGATGGCAGAGCTGCAAGTGCGATTCGACGCCTGTCGTCGGGCCATTAATAACTGAACCGGACTACCCCAAGGACGCATCGGGATGTCCCTCGATATACACTGTACTCTCCTCCCTCTCATACCCGACAAGCTTTTTTTTTTTTTCCTTCTCAGCTGCGCCTCCATACTTGACTCTTGTCGCACAAAAAGGTACACGTGCCCGGCATTCGCCAGCGGCGTGTGGCTTTCGTAATTCTCCGACAGACACTTTACGCGACGAGCCTTAAGGAAGAAAGAAAAAAAAAGAATAAAGGCGAAAGCGTGTGTTGATAGCGAGATATCTGTCGAAACGTGTTGTGAGCCTGTTTAGCTGTTTCACTCCATCGTAGGTGGTGCAATGGTGGCGATTCTTGTGAGGTTTTTTGTGCCACAAAACATGCCAGTGCCACCACCTGCACAGACATGTTTTGTGATGTATTTTTTCGATGTATGTGCCTGCTTGATGCCACATGAAGGGTGATGTAAGTTAGGAGACAGTATCATGCTGTCCCCTTTCATAGGCATAGCGAAATACTGTATGAAGGTGATATTTAGGTAATATCATGAAGTAGACATACAAGTCATCTTGTGCATCGGCAGGCACACATAGATGGATAGATAAATAGATAGATAGATAGATAGATAGATAGATAGATAGATAGATAGATAGATAGAGACAGACAGACAGACAGACAGACAGACAGACAGACA